CATAAGCTGGAGATGACTTGTTGGCCCATACCAACCAATAACAAACCTTTAAAAAGGAAATGGTGGGCCCCCGCTGCAGCAAAATTTATCTCAGGCACAGTTTTGGCATTCCCTCATTTCCTGGCCACTATTATCTGTGAAGAAAATGGAAGAAAGAAGGCAAACACACGTTTGACAGCTCTTTGTCCAGCGGCTTCCAGATGTGGAAGTCAACCCATCTTGTGTGTGGCTGGAAATTATCTCTGGAACTCGTACCTTTTACACAGTGACAAGATTAATTAAAGCCAAAATATCTCATCAGAAAAGAAGTGCAGTGAAAATTAATTAAATGGATCCTTGTTGAGTAGTTAAAAATTGAAAGCAAGAAACACTCTTGAACGTAAAGAAATGGGTGCAATTTTTGGAAGCAATTTGACTGATACAGTGGCATTTGAAGACCACATCCAAAATCCTTGTTTACATGCCAGTACTGTATAAATGAGACCACAAGGGAAAGGCCCAGAGAAAGAAGAAAGATGTGCTTTTCTCAGCTAAATTGGGCCCTTAGCCAAGATGTTGTGCTTAATACAAATGTCAGAACCAAGAGAGGAGACAGAAAGGGTCAGCAAGAGCCAGGCATGACAGAGAGTATCTATGAGTTTCTGAAACCTTTTTTTACATAGTCAAGGTCCCGAGGTTAAGTTATGGATTTTAAATATGATTTTTAAAAATGATACTGCTCATTGAACCTTCAGTGCTTCAGTTTCACCACTTTCCTAGCAAATAAAATGGAACACACAATTTCACCTGCACTTTTTTAGAAGGGCAGATTTTTTCAGCTGTGGTGCTTTTTTCATCCTTGCGTATCTAAGGAAGTAAACTTGCCCAATTTCTTCTTCAGTTGACAAAAGAAAAATGTCAACAAGTGTGTGTACCAGAGCTGATTTCTTTTGTATCTGATCCATTTCTTGCTATCTATAGAGAGAGCATGGTGTAGTGGTTAAGAGCACGGGACTGGGACTCAGGAGATCCAAGTTCGAGTCCCCACTCAGCCATGGAGCCCACTGGGTGACTTTGGCCAGCCACAGACTCTCAGCCCAGCCTACCTCACAGGGTTGTTGTTGTGAGGATAAGATCAAGAGGATGAGGAGAATTATGTAAGCCGCCTTCAGTTCCTTGAATGGAAAAAGGTGGGATATAAATATAACAAATGGATAAACAGCTGCCTTGGATCAGTCATAGATCCCTGTTTCCAGATGCAGCTGTAAACTATTCTGTTATAAGCTATTCAGTTGTAAGCTATTCCAGGATGTCCTGGAATGTCTCAGGAGTGGTGGACTCAGAGCTGAGTTCAGTCTGATTCCGTCCCTTCTAAGCATAAAGGTGGCTGTTGTGTTTTCTTTGTAAGGGTGGCAGAAGCTGGATGGAAAACTCAGGTGGACTTAGCAATGAATGCATGTGTCTGCTTTGCTTTCTCCAATGTTTGCATCTTTTCACATGTGAGTTAATTCTGACCCGTTTCCAGATCAAGTCGTGATTTCTTTTTCATTTTAATCAGCATGAAAATTCATACACATACACATTTATGGTGCATAAAAAGTTATGTGCATTTTCCCAAGATACCCATTTCTGCAAGCAAAACTTCATTGATACATGACTTTTTGTACACAGTTTCCCCAGTGTTTAAATTTGCATATGCTTTTTAACGGGAGAACAGCATTGCAAAATTCAAAGAAGGTAAAATCTGTAGAATAATTATGCCCCCGTTTGCATATTACTTTGAGAAGGGCAAAATATTAAAATGTGATCCAAACAACTTTCTCTCCTTTCCCTGCCAGGAGCTTGTTAGTGAACAGGGATTTGATCACTTGGCCTGCCCTTTCGTTAGTGTGAATTGTCTTTATACTCCTGCCACTGAGTTCGTTTATGGCTGAGCTGTGATTTATACTCAGATCTGCACAGAAGGAAAGCACACTTTGCAGTGTAAGACTTACACTGTGCCCTACTTTTGAGAACACCATATACTGACATACAAATCAACCCTTAAAACCAAAAATAGCAAAGTAAAAATCGAGGGTTGTCTTAGGCACCAGCTGAAAAAATTTCTCTACCATGGTTTTTCTTCATTCTTCCTCCAGGCTTGCACCATCTTCTCAGCAACGTCAAATCTTCTAGCTGCATTACAATTACTTCTTTCTCAATTTGAATGACCTATAGCTTAAAACAAGACCTGATGCTCAGGGGAGCTTGTCCCACATCACATTGTGTTGTGACGTTTGTGGGTGGCCACAGGCCTGGTTCCAAGTCTGGTGCCCACCCTGTCCTCATGGGGGTACCACACCATTCTGGGCCGGCTGCAGCAGGTGGGAAGGGAAGCATTCCCCACACAGCTGTCTATAGAGAGAGACAGGGCTGCCCCCACAGGCTCCCCCTGCCATCCAGACCCCTACATTCTTCCACAGCAATGATGACAGCTGTCCTCCCCTACTGACCCTAGCCAGCCAGCCCTCTTATGGACCTCCATTGAGCTCCATAGAAACATAAAAACAGAGCGAACCAGAAGGGACCTCCTGGGCCATCTAGTCTGACCCCCAGCTCCAGCCGGCTCTGCTCACGACATGCCCACCATGAGCATGTCCGGCCTATCCTTGAACACCTGCACTAATGGAACCTCAGCGACCTCTTGTGGAAGCCCTTTCCATACCCTCAGGGTCCTAACTGTCAGGAAGTTCTTCCTGGCATCTAAAGAGAACCTTGGTTCCCTGAGCTTTGCTCCGTTGGAGCACGTCCTGCCTTCCTCTGCAGGGGAGAACAGGTCTCCACCCACCTCCATGTGACGCCCCCTCACATGCCTGTATGTCGCTAACTTCACATAACTTTCTCATATGAAATTGGAGAGGGAACATGGCTATTAGCTAGAATGACATGATGTCGTGAGAGTTTAGAAGCTTCTGGCTAACAAATACCTGTATATACTGGCATATAAGATGCCCCTTGAAGCAAGACTTGGGGGTCATCGTATACTCACAAGATACAACAAATGCCAGAAAAACAACCTGAAACACCGACCTTATACACAAATCGCCTTATATGCTGGTATATACAGTATGTATGAACGTGTGATTCCTTTCTCCAAGCCTGGGTTGGCAAATACCAAGAAGCAGTAGGAGTGGGAGGCTCTTGGGAGAATGTCTCGTTAGCCGATCAGGCAGCGAATATTCCTCCAGGCATTGGGAATGGTACTGCAAACCCTTAATTGCCCCTGTTGTGCGCACCTGTCCTACCACCAACCTGGTCAAAGGGTCTCCAGAGACTGGCCTGACAACGGCAGAAGGAATGTCTGTGCACCTCATGAGAAACCTCACTTCTTTACCCACCAACTTTCAACTCCATTAAAAGCAATGTTTTTGCCCCCGGGCTTTCCAACTTATATAACTTGCCATATGTGGAACAGATATTATGCTACATTAAAAAAGCAGTAATCCATTGTTACTTGCAGTGATTGTGGGCCGTCACTGTAAAATGCAGGGAATGTTGCTTCTTTCTCAGCGGTTACTGTTTGCAAAGGCACTGTAGGCTTTGGGGAGCAAATTAGACATGTTTTGTGGGCTTGCTTTACCTGTAGGCATCAGAAGATAACCAGAAGGTAGATCAATAACTAGGCTCATTTTTCATCTTTTAAAATGGATTACAAAGTGTGTGTGTGGCAGAGCCTCTTTGCTTTTTAATATGGCAGAACTTCCACAGAAAAGGAACAAAGGCAGACTTCTTTCTCTGTATTATGTTACCCCTTATCTGTTATCAAAGCAGGTTTCTGCTGCAGGTTCTCGTTGTAACAAAATCTCACCCTTCTGAAAGACGATGCGGCAAAAGCGCTGGCAAGGCCTGACTCTTGCAAGCCATGGATGATGGCTTCCAACTGGGGCTGTGGATTCTGGGTGCTGCATTTGTTCCTCTGAAGCATTGCTTACGAGTCTGAAGTCATAATCCGTTTATATGGAAAGGAAGTAGGATCTTTGGGCCTTTTGTGATCGCATTGTCTGAGCAAAATGAAGCCCCTTGCTGAAAGAGTCATTTTGTGGGAAGAAAGGTAGCCATGCTGAACCTGGTGGCCATCCCTGTATCTCATGAATTCCACAGCTTATGGTCTGTGCAAAGAGGTCCTTCCTTTTCCCTTCCTGATTCTCCCACCAGTCAGGTTCCTAAGATAAGCTGGAAGAAAATGTCTCCTGTACCACTTTTCCCACACTGCATAATTCTGTTCACCTCCATCACCGTTCTCCCCTTACCTGCCTTTTCTCTAAGGATGTAAATAGCATTGTGGAGTAAGAATGACTTCATTTGCACCTCGGATGAGTCCCATCCAATGCAACGGGCTTACCTTTTGAGTAAATACATGTAGGATTAGCTGTAGATGATGCAATTCTTGAAAAGGGTGGGAGCTTGGCAAGTCTTTTCTAGTGATCACAAAGCGCTGAATTTAGCAGCACAAAGTAAGCTATGCTGACTGGGAATGATGGGAGCTGCAGTGCCACACACCTGAGGGCAGCTAGGTCGAGGGAGGCTGGCATCAACTATCCATGCACCAGAAAAAAATCAGATGGATTTTGCACTGAAAATTGAATTGTTGTTAATGAAATGGGATCAAGGCAAATGACAAGAAAGTGGCATCAGCCATGACTCAAAGGCCTGTGCCTCAGACATCATTTCTCAGTCGGTTCTTCAGAGCTGCACTTCTAAAATGACAGCTTTCTTCTTTTTCTTCTTCTCTCCACCGGTTTTGCTCGTGATGCATCTTGCTGCACTGCAAATTGCTTTTGAAAAGAGAAGATAATAAGAAAAACACATTTGCAAGTTCATGTTGATCATGGGTTGAGGTGACATTCAAAGGGAAACTATCAGGAAAAACCTCTGGAAGTGCCCCAAGATGCAAAAGTAGAACTTTGGCAATGCATTTTGAAGGGATGTGCTCTGAAAGCCCACATGTTTACAGTTGTTTGTTCTTTATTTTTAATTCACAGGGAACCTCAGAATCTGTACCCTCCTGAGGTCAGCAACGCAAAGCTTCAGTACGCAGGGTGGGGACCAAAAGGACAACAACTGGTGAGAAAACCATTGGTTGCAATCAATTGGCATATTGATTACAAACAACCGTGCATGAAAACAAACGAGCCATCTAGGGCTGTTGCATTTTCTTAGGCTGTAATAAAATAGGTTTGTTTTTGTTCAAGTGGTCATCCTCCAACTCTTTGTAGCTCGGGGATCTTTGGTTCTGCTGCATTAGCAAGGCTACAAATGTAGGATTCAGGAGCCAAATCCCCACCCAAGCTCTCAGATGGCCATTTCCCACATCATAGAGGGCAGTTCTCTATTTGAAGGGCAGTCCTCTATTCCAAGGCATCCCCTATTTCAGGGGTGTCAAACCTCTTCCAATTTTGGAGATCAGGCTTCCTCAACCAGTTGTCTTCCAAATGTGCCAAACTACATTTCCCATCAGTCTGAGCCACTGCGGTATATGTGGCCTGGCAAATTCAGGGAGTACTGGATTGGGGAAGGCTCCACTGGAGGGAGCTGCTTGTGGTGCACTGGCAGGAGCAGAGCACATGCAGCCCTTCCAGGGATCCCGACTCCCACGACTGCCCTCCACTTCCATTGATGCCGCTGCAGTATCAGGCATTTGTAGGTGCCATCACGTTTCCCTGGCAAGTGTGAGCACAGAATGTGACCCGTTTGCATGTGAGAAGGTTGCATCTGTGCATCAGTCTTTGAAATCTACATGGGAGCTGGAACAGCCCTTTCCTGGCCCTCGCCAAGAAAAGCACTGACTTAAATGTGCGTCCTTCATTCCTCGCTTTTGCAATTCCTCGCTTTTGTCCATGTGTTCCAATCAGTGCCTATTCTCTACCACCAAAATGTAAAGTAGGAAGCTACACTTGGATCAGCTGGGTGGCTATGAGAAAGTCATCCCCTATTTTAAGTCCCCCTCGAAATTATCCAATTGTGTAGATCAGCCAAATTCCATTTGGGGAAAAAATTCACAGGAAAAAACGGGAAGCCACAACAAAGAAGGCCTTGGTGTCTTTCAGCCAGAATCCTGTTAACTGGAGATTGTGGTGGCAACTTACAGGGTTGTAATGAGGTTCACAAGAATGGAAGAAGCTATTTGGTTGGAGAGTAAGAATAATTGAAAAGAACAGACATGTAAACAAAGCCCTACTGAATCATACTTAAGCTCTGGCTAGTCCAGATTATATTGGGCTGGTTCGCATGAAATAGCAGTCGAGGGTAGGTTAATTTACCCCTGAGCTGTGATGCCTGCCAGACACCATGATGCCCATGCAAGCCCTCCGCAGGGTTTGTCCTGTTCTATGGACCCATCTAGTGAGGGTTATTTCAGGGCTAAACAACTCCTGCATAACCCACAGGGTCTGTGGCACAGTGGAGTCATGCAAGGGGTGTTTAACGCTCAAATCACCTGCACCCGTCAGGCTCACACGACATAACAGACTCCAATAATCCCTGGTCAGAAAATGTATACACATAATGACCACCTGCATGTGTTTTAGCTCCTTGGGGGTCAATTGACAATGGTGAGCTGTTGTGGTATGTGAACTGACCCAGCAAGAGAAAGGAAAAGCATCAGAGGAGCATATTCTAAAGGTAGCTAGTTGTTTGTGCAAATAAAACCTTGTTTCCAGGCAGCAGTGGTGATTCAGATACTTCAAGCAAAGCCGTACGTCTGTAGTTTGTCCTCTGGGTTATACTGCCTCTCAAAATGGAGGCTCAGGAAGAGTAGTACTGCAACAAATTAATCTGCACCCTTTCTGGAAACAAAATGAGCAGGCTCACTGCTTCTATTTCCTGATAGTTCAAAGAGATGCAAAAGTCTCTCCTGTGCACAGAAGGTGGGAGAAAGGAAGAGAATGCCAAGTTCCCACCCTGATAATTGGAGGATGCTCTGTGATGCTGACAGTTTCATATACTGGGTTTCTCGTGGATCTGTCAGTTTCCTTGGGCTTATCGTGACCATTTGAAAATGCTGTGCTGCCCATCGCAGGCCATTTTGCTTGCACTAAATTGCTTTGGCAATCACAAGGAAGTACCTCCAGAGGCAAAGAGGAAAAGGGAGGAAGAAAATTGTCTCCTGATACCATCTGGGTCTTCAGTTGGTTTCTCGCTTTCCACAAAAGAAACAAGTCACCCAACAGTCTGCAGCACCGACTGTATGACTGACTGACTAAGGCACATCTTTCCATCTGGAGGGGTATGCAGGGAAACTCACTCCAGGGGCTTCTCCTGGCCCTCCCTGAGGGTCAGCCTCTAGTGCAGCCACAGTTCACACCCCATCCCAGAGGAACCCACTGCCAGTGCTGCAGGCTGCTTGCTTGTGGCCTCTCACCCTGGCTGAGACACCGGTGGTGTGAAGGAGCAGCGGGAGATGCCTGGTCTGGCTTGCTCATTGACTCTGTAGCACATGGGAGCACATGGTAGGCTGGGCCATTTTAACTCTTTCCAAGCTGGGAATAGCTATGCAAATTGACTTTGGCTGCTGCAGCTGAGTAAGAATTTCATTTCAGTTTGTTTGTAATAAATACATCCTGAAATTAACAAAGTTCTTCATATCTGGGAAAGATCTTAAGATTAAAAAACAGAATGCAGAGGAAAGCAAAACTAAGGCATTTGCCCATCTTTACACACAACACACACGCTCTGCACTGCATTCTTAAAGCCCCAGACTCTTCAGCCGGAGAGCAATGTAGCAATGGCAGTCTGCCCTGTTGCTTCCTTGTGTTTTGCAAATGCAAGCCCAGGAATGCTGGTACCGTGTTGCAGAGTATTTCATGTTGTCCAGCGAGGAGGAAACTCTTTCCAGGTGCAAAAGTGGCTCTTGGATTGCGATTTCCAATCCAGGCTTCTCTTTGATCTGCATCTAAATATCATGTAGGCAGGTGTGTGTGCTTTTGAGTCATGTTTTCTTGGAGCCTGCCTCATTAATTTCTCATGGTGTTACTCTCTCATCTCCCCTCCTCCCTGTTTGCAGTGACATCTGAGTCAGTATTAAGCTGCAGTCTGCCATATGAAATTGCTTTGGTTTTTGGTGACTTTGTAGGAGATGAGCAGGAAGTCAGGAAGGGAGTAAGAGCCGAATCCATCTTGCTTAAAGAAAACATCAAAGGGGGAACCTCAAGAGAAACAGCCCATAAAATAGGTTCTTTAATTTCATGTCTGTCACATTACTGTACTGCGCGTGATGTAGTGGTTAAGAGCATGGGACTGGGACTCAGTCTGGATTCTAGTCCCCCCTCAGTCGTGGGCCAATTGGATGACCTTGAGCCATTCACAGACTCTCAGGTCTACCTACCTCACAGGGCTGTTGTTGCAGAGATAAGGCTTAGAAAGGAGAAGAAGAATGATATAAGCTCCTTTGAGTTCTTTAAAAAAAAGGGGGTGTAGGATATAAAACTAATAAATAAATAAATTGCCCCAATAGCTGAAGCTTTCGGACAGTGGCCAAAGGTTAAAACTTTAAAAATGCATACAAGCATAGGAACGTATGACACATACATTTCTGAAAACAGTTTTAAACAATCAACAATAAGAATAGTTCAAAATGTGATTAAAACATTATCATGTGCTGCCAAATGCCTGGGAGAAGAAGGTCTTAACTTGGTACAGAAAAGATAGTATTGGCACCAGGGAAGGAGATCATTCAGGGGGCCATTTCAGAATCGGGATGGGGGGGTGGGGGCTGTCTCCATCATTGCTACCTTCTGCCTTGAAATAGGTACCGTGAGGAGGGCCTTTCCATTCAGGAAGAGGAAATTCCACAGGGCAGGGGAGGAATCTCCTTATCACTGACTCCAGCTTGGGAAAGACATGAGGAGCTGGGCCTTTTTCAGCATCCATCCCCAATAACCAGCCCTGAATATTTCCTGGCTTTGTGGCAGTCAGCTGAAACTGTCCTTTCAGACTAGGTTTCAGGGATCCCAGGCTGCTTCTGCCCATATCCACCCTCCTTGAGGAGATCAATAATGCCAAACAAGCTTTCTTACACTGTACTGCTGTTGCTGAAGTTCTAGTTTCCTTGCTTAGCCTGTGACAGTTGCAAGTGTAAGAATTCTCGCAGTCACTACCTGCAGAGTCCAGGTGTTAAAGAGTTTGAAGAGCAAAAGTTTTGCAGATGGATGGGATGTGCATTTTGCTTTAACTCTGTCGTTTGCCCCAATTCAGACAGAGCTAAGCCTAAGCAAAGAACTAGAAAACCCCACGATGCTAATTTAAAGCTCTAGGGATGAGGGATCTTGAGGCTTCAGGAATGTCACAACACTGTTACAAATCCATTTGGATTTGCATCTGGGATTAATCAGAAGTTGTTCTAGAGTGGCCCAGTGAGGGTTGCGGTGTGTGATCCAGTTCTGAATCTGGCGAAGGAGGGCTAGCCCATCATATTGACAAAGACTTTGTCCACCCGTACCACCCGTTCTCTACAATGTACAGTTTCAGTTGTCTTGTAGGGTGTTCCTCCCCTTCACACAGCACAATACCAGAGTTCTGCATGAAGTAAAGGACAAGCTAGACACAACATTAATGCCATGATTGCCCTTAGCATGTCCAGCTTTTTAAAAACAGCAGCCACGGGATAGGTGGTTGGATCAGAATTGGGGCCATGGCCCAGGCAAAGGGCCTTAATCCCCCTTGTTTCCCATAAGGAAGCTGTTCTCCTCATAGGGAAGCTTCCATTGCCTCCCAGTGCACATGGCCCCAGCCCTGATCCCTCCTCCCCCCCTCCCTGCTACTGCGATTTAAGTTTGAAACACCAGACGTATTAATTGCAATTACAAAATCACCATCATGCCAAACCTGGAATTACATGTGGCCTATAATCTTGGGTTACAGGCAAGGTTTCCAGCTAGCAGGCTGATGCAGAAATAACTGAAAAATAAGGCTGGAAAGGATGCTGAGAAGAATCAGGAGGATAAAAGGCGCATGGGGAGGGGGGACCTCCTGATACATGAGCTTTCGGCAAGGATGCACCAGTGGACCTGCCCCAGCTGCAGGTAATAGATCCATTGCACAGAGGATGATCCTGGTGGGCACTGGAG